AGACCGTAATTCTTGCGCAATATTACGGGCCGTAATATCTTACGTAAGATTACGTTTATATAATTTGCTGATGTACTAAATGCTCTATGTTCTCTGTTTTTTTTTTGAATACAATACATTTATTGGTTTTGTACACCTCTGGTTTTTTACAATTAAGCTTCTCAAATATTGGTAAAATATTGTTTATGCACTTTAATTCAAAAAGTTGTATTGAATTTGACTTGTATATATAATCACGTTGCTTAGTTTCACTTTCTAGAGTCTTATAGAAAATTGGCCAATACTATAAAGTTGTTCTTTCTCAGTGTATTATGTTTTGTTTATTGCACAAAAATATCTATTCTGCTTTATTTATAACTTTTTTAAGCATTTTAATGAAAGACTATATTGGTTTCTTTATAACTTTATTCACCCACTTATATCTTGGTTTGAACTTTTTTACACTCAGTACTGTAGAAGTTAGAATAATAAATATCAGTATAATATATAATAGAGAATTGCTATTTTCACCACCAAATTTGCTAATGCCACCCTTGCAAATTTAGCTTTTTTTTAAACTTTGAGCAAAGATATCTTGGTAACTACCAGGCCAAATTTGACAAACATTTTTTCTTTGAATTTTATAGATTTGTAGAATTCAAACAAAAAAAAGTTTATCAAATTTGGCCTAGTAGTTGCTAAGATATCATTGTTCAAAGTTTGAAAAAAATCAAAATATCAAACCAAACTATACAAAATTTTCTTTAACTTTGAGCAAAGCTATTATTGCAACTACTAGGCCAAATTCGATAAATTTTTTTTATTTGAATTTTATGAATCTGTAGAATGCAAATAGAAAAAAATTTATCAAATTTGGCTTGGTAGGTGTCAAGATATTATCGCTCAAAGGTTTTAAAAAATTCAAAATATATATTAAAACAAAAGCTGAACCAAAAATTTCTCAAACTTTGAGCTAAGATATCTCAACAACCACCAAGTCAAATTTGGTAAATTTTTTTTATTTAAATTCTATAAATTTGTAGAATATAAATAAAAAAATTCATCAAATTTGGCTTGGTGGTTGTCAATATAGCTTTGCCCAAAGTTTTAAAAAAAGCTCAAAATGTATGTTAAAACAAAAGCTGCATCAAAATTTTTCTCAAACTTTGAGTAAAGCTATCTTTGCAACTACTAGGCCAAATTCAATGAATTTTTTTTATTTGAATTCTACAAATCTGTAGAATGCAAATAGAAAAAAATTCATCGAATTTGGTTTAGTGGGTATTGAGATATCTTAGCTTAAAGTTTGAAAAATTTTTAATACAGCTTTTGTTTTGATATTTACCCTAGTATCACACAAAATGCATGACAGATTCTCGAATTTGATTGGTTAACAGCCAAATATCTTCAAAATTTTGGTCCACATTACAATTTGTTTATTAAATTTTGGGTGGAATTAACTTTTTAATTTTCATTACAAAAATATATACATTATAATAAAATTGACCCAGGAACAATTTTCACTTAATAGGCAGCTGCGATTTCATTAGTAAAATTATAAGTAATTCTGGCTTAATTTTTTTAGCCAATTAAAATCGAGGATCTGCCACACATTTTTTGTATAGTATTATGGGAAATTTTGTCTAGTATACTAATTTAGTCTGTAATTAGTATTTTTTTCATTACCCTGTTATTCTATAATTAGTAGATCATTACTATATTATTAATATTTGATTATGATTACATTTCTAGATAATGATTACTACATTTTGATGTTGTAAATTAGCATTACTACTGTATATTCTTTGTAAATAGATATAGTTCTTACCTCATTTTTTAATTCTAGCTAGATGTATATAAAAGAATCATTGTATATAAAAAGAAGAATAATTCTTTTAGATAGTTTCTTAACTATATATAATAAATATAATATTTGCTCTTCCAACAACATAAAGCTTATATTCTTTTAAGACCCTAATGTTCATGGCTTAAAGCTAAATTGGCTATGAAGTACATAAGTTTTCTCTAAGTATGATATTTTTGGTACCAGTTGTGTGAAATGATCATTTTTAGTTCCACATCTTGTCTGTAAAATCAAAGTAATACAAAAAAAAAGAAAAAAGAACGATGTGAGAAAACACTTTTGATGATGCATGTTTTGGCAATGCTAATACTAGTAATAATATGAGTGATCCGAATCAACACACTCTCCATTTGTTGCAAGTAATAGCAGATACACTAGCCCAACCACAGCCTAGGCTAAATGAGCAAAGGATAGTGAGTATTCCTATTTTCACTAACGAAAACCAAAACCTTTTAGGATGGTTAAATTTAATTAGTAAGGCATTTGAAATAAATAATATTCTAGAGACAAGAAGGTTAGCAGTTTTGGGCGCTTACTTGATAGAGTTGGCTACATTGTAGTAGCAGAAAAAAAAGAATAAAATTCAATTTTGGGACAATAATCAAGAATCAGATCAAAGTTTTACTCACCAGTTTTATCAAGCTTTCTATACTCAAATGTAGATAAACCAATGGAATACCAAATTACTTATCAAGAAACAAGTCAGAGAGTCATTAGATAAATATATAATAGACATGCTAGTGCTATTTGATTGTCTATTAAAACTATTATCTGGAGGTTATGAAGGTTCAGATATTTGTACAAGGCCTTCATTCTGATTTATTATTGGCTGTTAAACACTTCATATCTAGTGCACTACAAGAGGCAATCAAAAAAGCCCAGATCTGTGAAATGACAATTGCGCGAGAACCAAGCTCTGTAATTCTCTTTTTACCTTTACCTAAATAACATACTCTATAAACCTGCAAGTGATAACTACACTCCTTTAACAGTAGTAATCTCTGCACTATTCATAGTAAATGATTTTGCAAAACAAGCAGTTATCTTACTCCAAGAGGTTGTTTCTGCAGTAATAGTAATAATAGCTAGTCTCACTCTCTACCTGATAAAAGTGACAAAGGAGTGAAATGTCCTTTGGCTAGAACTAGATTTATTACATTTCTCTGAAGCAAAATGAATAGTCATATGAATAAAAATAAAAGCAAGATGAAAATAGAAACAAAGCTTGATGATTCTTCGGTAAAGGCTGATTCAAGTAATAAAGTTTGTAAGAAGACTTTATTAAAGGAACTGTAAAAATGAGATGTTAAAAGACCTAAGAGAGCTAACAAATATTAGCTCATTATACCCCCTGGGATTTTTACTTAGTCCCACCCAGAGTCAGTCATTTGACACAATAAAATTTACAAAAAAATGCATAATTAGATTTTTGACAGTTTATATTATCAACTATCAAAAACCTAATTATGCATTTTTTGTAAATTTTACTGTATCAAATGACTGACTCTGGGTGGGACTAAGTAAAAATCCTAGGAGGGGTATAATGAGCTAATATTTGCTAGCCCCCTAAAGATAATAAATATGAAGTTCTAAGTGAAAGAATAGGAGATTATAGTAACGATTAAAATACAATAAGAAAGAGACAAAAAGAATATCTATATTGCCAAAAATAAGCCACCTCCGAAAATAAGCTACCTCCTTTTTTCTTGGAGAAGAAACATAAGAAAATTTGTTATTCTGAAAATAAGCTACCCCTGATAATTTCTTAAAATCTGAAAGTAGTTTCTATATATAAAAGTCAAAATTCTATTAAGTAAATCGATAAAAGTCACTTAATAGAGGTTGTTTAGGACGTAAAAATACACATATCCTGAAAGTTTGAAGCAAATTAGAAAATTTTTTACTAAGATATTTTTGCATTTTATATTCAAACATAAAATGCAAAAATATCTTAATAAAAAGGTCTCTTATTTGCTTCAAACTTTCAGAATATGTGTATTTTTACGTCCTAAACAACCTCTATTAGGTGACTTTTATCGATTTACTTAATAGAATTTTGACTTTTATATATAGAAACTACTTCCAGATTTTAAAGAAATAATAAAAATCAACCTTTTCGAAACTTTACCCAAAAAGGTAGCTTATTTTCGGAAACCTACAGTATGTCTGATAAATATGAAATAACAGATGATCTATAAGATCTATTAGAAGATATCTAAAACTTATTCGATATTGAACATAGCTATAAAAATGGAATCAGAATTAAAAAAGAGAAACATAAGACAAACTATAACAATAACATAACAGTACCTATATTTTCTAGAATTTTTCAGTATTACCAAAATGAAATAGGTGTTGAAAAGAATAGACCAGAGACATCTGTTGATTGTTAAAAATCTGAAAAGTCTGACCAAAATAACAAAGTATGTGACGCTAGTCATTAGTATCAAAACAAGATAAAGAAAAAAAGAAGTAAATATCGAAGGTTGGAGTTTTGAAGATTCGAAGGCAAAGGTTATTCTAATAAAGTTGAAGGTAAAAGAGATAAAATAAGCAATGGATATTGATAATAAATCAGCTAATGAAGAACAATGTAATGACAATAGTAGCAATATGGTAGTGTTTAATAAAGAGAAGGTGGCTAAATTATATATCAAAAAGAATAAAAATAGAGTATTCACTAATGATCAAAAATTAGCAGAAATAAGCTATACTGAAGAAATTAAGCTTGGTTATAGCTACCAAAATGAAATTAGAATTGAAAAGCATGAATCTAAAGTATTCGATAATTATCAAAAGCCTTTAAAGATGGATCATACTAGTACAACATGTAGTCTTGAACATTGCTATCAAAAAGATATAGATGTAATGAAGAAAAGAAGTAAAGTACTAATCCACCATCCAGATATAAACCAAATTAAAGAAATTAATAGGCTTGGGCACCACTATGAAAATGAGTTAGGTGTTGAAAAAAATAGAATTAGAGTTAAAGTGAACCAACATAAGGCACTTAACTATTACTAAAAGTCTCCTTTAGATGAATACAAAGCTTCTAAATAGTATTTAAAAAATACTAAAGGAATTTTGAACAAAATAGATAAGTTTGGAACCTGCTATCAAATAGAAAGAGATATAGTTAAGGATAAAAAAATAGCATTTAAGTAGAATTTGAAGTCTACTGAAAATAAAAATTTACCCAAAAGTTACAAGTCTTTCGAAGCTGCATGTATATTGTAAAAAAAGAAGGTTGAATCATTTAGAGCTTAGATTAATATAACTGATATCAGAAAATTTTTTTAACTAATTACTAACAATTATTAACCAATAATCGATGATTATCGATAAAAAAATATCGATAATCATCAGTATGGTTGATTATTATTAATAAGTTAACTCTAAATGATTATCATCAAAAAGTTAAAAGCAATGACTATTATAAACGATGTTTATCTAATATGATTAAAAATGATAGTTATCGTTATTTGGCTAATAAATTTTTTTTTAGTTTTACTCTTTGACCGACTAGTCAAATAGAGTTATAGCCCAAACCTACTAGTATGGGATTACAGCTGTTTTCATTATTCCTGAGATACATAAAAAAATTAGATAAAAAATTTTTCAGCCGATAATTTTTTTGACATAATAAATTCAATAAAAATTGATATAATACTATAATATATACGTAATTTGAAATCAGGTGGCTAATATAAATATAAAATTATGCATTGAATTCAAAAAAATATGATATTTTCAAACCACATTTGGTGGCAAAAATACTATTTCTGATGGATTGTTGGTGCTGTTCCTGATGGAATGAAAAAAAAATTTGATTTATATACCATTCCTAATAGGGAACTCCGAAGTTAATTTCTCATAATAATGTTTTATTATAATGTGAATACTAAATCACAACCTATGATTAATTTACAGCATTGATTTCAACTTGCCTAAATATTGGTCTTAAGATATACAGTACTGTATCTATGCAAAATAACTCATAGGCATTATTCAAGGCACATGTGCTAATAATTAAAAATTATTATTAACATTAAAAACATAGTTGCATTTGGCTAATTAAATATTAGTTCTCTTTATAATCTAGTTAGACAGTGATTGTGGACTTTATGCAATAGCCTTATATTTTGACAGTAGTGTGGTTTTAGAACCCTATCAGGAATTGTACGTAAATCAGATTTTTTTTTTATTCCATCAGAAACAGCACCGACGATCCATCAGGAATAGTATTTTTGTCATTCAGCAAATTATTAAAAAAAATTTAGAAGGCCTATCAACTTAAAAAATTGCAAAACACTTAGGTGTTAGCAGGCCTTTTATAAGTCGGGTTCTTGTGCATTTTCAAAGATATGGTTGTATTGTATCACTTTTGGAAAAGCCATGTTTCTTAAACATGAATAATTTAAGTTCTAATGAAAGAAAAACCTGACTGGTACTTGTATAAATTACAATCCAAGATGGAACTTTGGTTGGGACATAACATTAGTCTTACAACTTGGATATATGCACAAAAAGGTAAGATTTCATATATTTATACATGTTTTTATTTTATAAACATTTAACAATTTTAATTTTATAGATTTCAAAATTTGCAAAAAAAAAAATGAAGTCAATAGAAACAATTTCATTTTACGAATATCTTAGTATACACCAAGTCAGTTTTTTTAGACAAAACTGCTTGTGACAGAAGAATATTATCTCGATGCTATGGCTAAAATTTTTCAGGTTTGTGTATTCAAAAATATACATTTTTTGTTCATGGAAGACAAAAGGTGCATTGTGTATTAATAGTTTTTTTGGCATATTGTATTCAAAAAGGTTCTATAAATTCTATTGATTATGAAAATTTTATTAAACATGTTTTAGCAAAAATCTTTATGTAAATATATAAATATAGTATCATTAATAAATTTTTTTGTTGATATACAGTAAATCATTTCTAATAAAGTTAAGCACCTTATTTATTGGTTGCAATCTTGTTCTGATTGTTCTAATTGTTCTGATCATTCTTAGCATGCCCCCAAATCTTTTTTATTACATTTAGGTTGTAAATTCTATAATTTGATGTTTGCATTGTTAACAAGCTGAATAACTCAAAAGTATTTGCCATGGCGATAAAGATTCTAAAGAATCTTTAATTGTTAGATCTACTGTTTCACTTTGATTGTATTGATCTTTAATGCAATTTTGATATATACTGTATTAATTAAGTTTTGATTTTTTGGAATCTTGACTTTAGTTGAATTGTTAGTTAAATTTTTAGTTCAATAAACAAATTCTTAATTGTATTTAACTTTACTATAAAAGCTAATTTGATATCCGGAGCGTTTTTTATATTTCTTGTCAAGTTTATTGGTTGACAAAAACAATTTTTTTTATAAACTTTCATACAAATTAAATATACTAAACATATTGGGCAAGTGTTTAAACGAAATTTTAATAATGTTGATATTATAATAATAAATTTATTTGTAGAACAAGTATTATATTTATTTATTATAGTAATTTTTAAAATTGGAACAAAAATGTAATTTAATTTATAATGTAGGTAAATAAAAATTCAAAGATATATTTTTTATATACCGATCATGCTGAAAAAATTACCGGCGAAAAATTTTTTGGCTAATTTTTTTATAGGTGTTCCAGGAATTATAAAAACAGCTATAATCCTATGCTAGTAGGTTTTGGGCCATAACTCTATTTAACTGGCCGGTCAAAGAGTAAAACTAAAAAAAAATTTATTAGCCAAATAACAATGACTATTGTTTTTAATTATATTAGATAAACATTATTTATAATAGTTATCGCTTTTAACTTTTTGATAATAATCGTTTAGAGTTAACTTATCGATGGTAATCAACCATACCGATGATTATCAATATTTTTTTTATCAATGATTATTGATTATTGATTAATAATCATTAGTAATCGGCTAAAAAAAATTTTCTGATAGAATATGAGAATCGAAAGATTAAAATGTCAATATGTAATGTGCTAAACAATACTATGAAGGTTAATAAAGAGCATAACCTGAACAGTAGTGATTTACAAGAAATGTGTAGTGCTTGGAAAGATAAGGTTATATGCATTCGAGGTCCACCAAGCTTAAAGAAAAATGCTTGTGAAGAAGACAATTATATAAAAATGATGAAATATAAAGAAATTGATGATAATCTACCTTGCGGCAATAAAATAATAGTAGATATAATAGTTAGTGAGACGCAGTTAAATAAACGAAAGATTTAAGTTAAATTGTAGAGATCTCTTATGATGATAAAGTTGAACTTGATAAATGGTCTTATAGTCGAAACCCAAAGTGATGATAGAGATAGAATTACTTTGCTGAAAGTTAATTTATTTTAACAATTTGGTTACATAATGTTTATGTAATAGTTTTAAAATTGTAACGTCTACACAGCTAAATATTAATTGTTTACATATTAATTTGGAATCACTACGATTTAGTAACAATTTAGCAACAATTTAGTTAACCTAATTGTAATAATATCGTTGTAACATTATTTAGAAGAAAAGTAACTAAATTGTAAACAAATCATAAAGTTATTTTAGCAATTCAATTAACCAAATTGTAACAATTTAAATTAAAAACACAACAACTAAATCTTAAACGAATTATAAAGATGTTTTAGTTATTTAGTTACCAAATTGTAGCAATATTATTTAAAAGAAAAATAACTAAATTTCAAATACATTGTGAAGATTATTTAACAATCTAGTAACTAAGTTGTGAGTTTTTAAAAAATAAATTATAGGTATGGATCGGAAGGAAATTTTTGATTAGTCAAAAATTGAACAAATTAAGTAAGTTACCATTTCGACAAACAATTTAGCAAGACACAACCCACCTTTTTTCTTCAAAAATTTACCATTAATAAAGGTCGCTCAAGCATTACTTTTACATTTTTATATATCAAACATAACAAACAACAGTAGGGCAAAAAGGGGAGTTCTGGCACACTTTTTCGGTACCCTGGGTACTAAAATATTCATTTTGCTTTTTAGATC